AAAAAATATGGATATATTACTGCGACTCACATCAGACTGTTTCAGCTTCGGCAATTGGGTGATTATAAAAAGAATTGATGAGGGAGGATTCGGACAAGTATATAAAGTACGTTAGTTTCACAAATAGAATGGTAAACGTGTGAGAACATCAGCCAGGTTTTGACGCCAAGCAGATTCACATCAAGTCTCCAAAATGAATTAAAAGCTCGATTTGATCTGACGGTTGGGGCTGAGCCTAGGAGGATAGGATGAGCTTCTAAAAAAGGAAATTGCTCGAACAACCCTGCCCTAGTCCTCTTTAATCTTGGTCCTAGAGGGACCAACAGTGGGGAATGCTGGGTGTGATGGGCTCTTCGCATAACGGTGCTCTCCAGTACACCAGCGCCGATCTGACTGCGTAATCCCGGTTGAGATACTTGTTGCAGTAGCCAGAACTTCCCAAATGGGCATTTACCCACAACCACGTTTTTTTCAGACAAGGTAGTATGTGGCGCAGCTAGGCTTGTCTGACTCGTCCAGTTGCTGCGACGTCGCGAGCCACGTCCACAAGCGCGGCGATGCTGACGATTTGGTTGACATACACCCCACTTGTGGAGCCGTATCCTGTCCTTCCCCCAGGAGGACGCGTCCCCGGCCCTGATCTTATCCTATGCTTGGGGAAGACAGGGTTGCGTCATCGAACCAGCCATACTCTGTTTCTCTAGACTCCAGACAGCGCGAAAAAGTCGCTTTCTGCCATAGTGAACCACACACGCGCGACCCTCAGAGAAAAGAGTGTCTTAATAGGGGAAGGTGGCTAGCACATCACGCGTCCGATGGCGGGTCCCATGACGTAACCCTGTCCCCTCGAGCTGGGGATAGAATCAGCGGCGGACGGGACGCTTCCGGGGAAAGGACAGGATACGGCCCCTGGGAGGGGCAGTCTGAAAAAAAGCCTCTTCCTTTTAGTCGGTGGATGGTGCAAGTTCGTTGGCTCCTTTTTCTATTACTTTCTGTTAGTCTTAGAACGCGCCAGCTGTCTTCGTCCCTTTGCGTGCACTTTTTCGCGCACACTTTTCTGGATTTGAAGCGACTGGTACTGATGGCGAGACCGCCTTGTCACGGGTTCCCAGGACTCCAAGAGAATCATAACCATGGGTTAAACGCTCATATACTAAAAGACAGAAGTGCAGTGGATAAATAAAAATACCGCTTTCGATTTAGGTGCAGGACGTGGTCACCAAGAAATATGCAGCTTTAAAAGCAGAATCGAATGACATTGAAGGTGGATCTGCGCTTAAACTTGAGGTCAGCCTTTTGCTGGTAGCAAATCGACATAACAAGGAATAGTCTTGATGAATCCTTCAAAACAACTCACTCTGAGACTTTCAGCATACAAAACAATTGCGCCAAAATTCTTGCTATGAGTACAGGAATGGTTCACTGAGGAAATGCAGAAGAATGTAATGGCAGCAGATGTCGCTGACCCAAAGTCATATAATGTGAGAAATTCAGTCTCATTTTCCAGCAGGTAGCCTACGGGTAATGCTATATAGCTGTGAGGGTAAAAGGTATATGTGATATCGTAGAACTTGCAGCACCAGATGGAGAAGTGCGAGAAAATAGGGTGGAAAATCCTGACCAACGCAGGCTCTTTTCGATCTCATCGTCTACAGTAAGAGCGGAGCCTCTAGTCACTGCGCAGACTCCATGCTAGCCTGAGATTATAACGTAGTTATTCTTTGTCTGTCGCGATATTTGGTAATAGTAATGAATAGCATGGTGCCGTTATTATCCAACGCGCTGTCGAGAGGACGATGCTAGGAGTAACCCTATACACGCAAGTGCAGAGGGGAATCCGGAGTGCCGAACTACGCCAACGATCGAAGATCAGGGACGCTGCCGTTTTCGCCAAGGAATCGAAGATAAGGTGGGCCGGACACGTCATGCGATTTTGATGACCGTTGGACCAGAGCGGTTACCGACTGGATCCCTCGGGACGTCAAACGAACACCTGGACGACCGCCGGCCCGATGGTCAGACTTCTTCACGAAAGCTCTGAACGAAAGGAATGAAGGACATCGTGTCCCTCGAGCGAGGAGGGTCCACTGGACAACTCTTGCACGCGACAGGGACGAATGGAGACGTTGCTGGCGCCCGCTCGAGCAATTCGATGATCAACGGGACGACAGGTGATACAGGTGATAACAGTGAAACCTGGTGCCGTATGCAGCAAGACCCGAAGGTCTTCGGAGATATGTATATCACCGACGACCTTCGGGGCTTGCTGCATACAGTTCCTGCAGAGACCGCGCCAAATTCAGAATCCGGTGGGACAGGAGCTAGGATGTGCAAAGTATAGAGGCTGAGCGAGGTCTCATCTAGGGTGGGTGCGATCACCTGTATCACCTGTCGTCCCGTTGATCATCGATTTGCTCGAGCGGGCGCCTCCATTCGTCCCTGTCGCGTGCTAGAGTGGTCCAGTGGATCCTCCTCGCTCGAGGGACACGAAGTCCTTCATTCCTTTCGTTCAGAGCTTTCGTGAAGAAGTCTGACCATCGGGCCGGCGGTCGTCCAGGTGTTCGTTTGACGTCCCGAGGGATCCAGTCGGTAACCGCTCTGGTCCAACGGTCATCGCAAAATCGCATGACGTGTCCGGCCCACCTTATCTTCGATTCCTTGGCGAAAACGGCAGCGTCCCTGATCTTCGATCGTTGGCGTAGTTCGGAACTCCGGATTCCCCTCTGCACTTGCGTGTATAGGGTTACTCCTAGCATCGTCCTCTCGACAGCGCGTTGGATAACGCTGACCGCATGCTCGTCCTGCCTGCGCAGAGTCCAAGTCTCTGAGGCGTAGGTTAGGGCAGGAAGGACTGCAGAATCGAGTGCGATGTGCGTCCAAAGGCGGTGCCGAATGCAAAATTTCTACTCCAGTTTCAATACAACACAGGAACTGGAAAAATTGGCATATAAGAGCAAAGTTTGGGTTTAAAAAAGTGGGCGGAGCCAGAAACAAGTGTTCATAAACGTTCCAGAGCTGTCTGAGGTCGAGAAAAGTGACTGAAACTAAAAAGACGCTAAAATGCCTTCAATACCGCTAAAACCTCCGTGTGGCGCACACGTTACAGTGGAACCAAACTAGTTAGTAGATAACCTCCTCCTTGTTTCAGATGAACGTTATGAGAACAATTGCTGCCGATGGCGAAAAACCTCACGTACCAAATGTATTCCATGCCGCTAAACGGCGACGATTTTGTTATATGATTATGACATTACTCGGAGAGAACTTAAAAGAGTTAAAGGTACATGAATCAATACTGTGCGCAACTTAATGCATAACCTACGGGATACATTACAGCTGAGTTGCCCAAAGGAGTACATGACCGCAAGAACGTGGACCCGGATAGCGATTCAGTGCCTATATAGGTAGGGCGCTGAAGGCCTCAAAAGCAGCTTGTTAAGCTCCTATTTCCAGCGTTAAAGTCGTCCACGATTACGGCTTTGTGCATCGCGACATCAAACCGAACAATTTCGTTATGGGATACCGAGAGGACTACGAAAGAGCGCGAATTGTACACATTCTTGATTTCGGGCTATCTAGGTCATACGCGGTAAAGCAGGTACGTTCTCAAGGTCTTCAGAAGTACTAGATATAGCGCTACAGTGCCGTCAGTCTCGCATGACTGACATAAGCGCATGAGCCGTGCACTTTCTATCAGTTTTAGGGATACAGGGTAAGTGAACCACTCGGTTCGTTTACCCTATAGTGAAGTTCAAATGACCAAGTCACAAGCCGGTGTAAGGGATGTGAGGCGTACGCACGTATGTAGATGAGCTATCTTTCGTACCA